GCTGAGCAGGGAGCCCGATGCGGGACTCGATCCCAGGATCCTGGGATCATGACCTGAGCTGAAGGCAGACGCTTAACTGACTGAGCCACCCAGGTGCCCTGTTGGACACTTTTTAAAAATAACAGCTTTATTGATAGATAATTCACATATACAATTCACCCTTTTAAAAAGTGTAATAATTCAGTGGTTCTTTCTTTTTTTTTTTGAGATTTTATTTTAAAGTAATGTCTATACCCACTGTGGGGCTCGAACTCAAAATCCAGAGATCGAGAGTCCTGTGCTCCACTGACTGAGCTAGCCAGGTGCCCCTCATTCAGTGGTTTTTAGTATATCCATAGAGTTGTACAACCATCACCACTGTTAATTTTGGAACGTTCTTATCACTCCAAAAAGAAAACATGTACCCATTAGCAGTCATTCTCCATTCTCCCTTCTCTCCAGGCCCTGGCAACCATTAATCCACTTTGTGTCTCTCTTGATTTACCTATTCTGGACATCTCATAGAAATGGAATTATGTGTGGTCTTCTGTGTCTGGCTTCTTGCACTTAGCATAATGTTTTCAAGGTTCATCCATGTTGTAGCATATATCAGTACTTCATTCCTTTTTTTGGCTGATTAATATTTCATTGTATGAATGTACTGCATCATTTTATTCATCAGTTGATATGTGGGATATTTCAACATTTTGGCTATTATGAATAAGGCTGCTGTGAACATTCATGAACAAGTTTTTCTGTGGATGTAGGTTTTCAGTTCTCTTGGGGATATACCTAGGAGGAGAATTGCTGGGTCATATGGTAACTCTATATTTAACATTTCAAGGAACTTCCAAACTGTTTTCCAAAGTTGCTATTCCATTTTGCTTTTCCATCAGCAATGTATAAGGGTTTTAATTTTTCCACATCCTTGTCAACAGTTGTTTTTTGTCTGTCTTTTATATATATATTTTTAGAGAAATGTCTTTTCAAATCCTTTACCCATTTCTAGATTGAGTTATTTATCTTTTTATCGTTGCGTTATAAGAGTTCTTTATGTATTTTGGATGTAAGTCCCTTATCAGCTATCTGATTTATAGTGTTTGACACTATCTTGAATGAAGGTTGTTTATAATATAAACTTTGAAGAATTAGTCTTCTGTCACTCACTAAATTTAAAATAATCTATTTGACAAAGAATTCTTACAGTGATTACGTTATTTTAAAAGAAGTTATGAATATACAATTATAAATACATGAAGACTTAGTACCTGGAGTTAGTTTTTAATTCTCTCCTATACAGCTCATATATATATGTGTGTGTGTATATATATGTATGTGTGTATATGTATGTATATATATGTGTATGTGTATATATATATGGTGGTGAAATCCCAGATCTCTCTCATTCTCATAGTTCTCATTGTTGCCTATATGCTCCTGGTTACTAAATCTCTATTTTTTGCCTTAACGTCCTGTCATGAGACTCAGAGTAGTATACTTTATAAGCAGTTGCTGAATATACACACTCACACATCCCTGAAGTACCTCTTGCTTGACATCTACAGAATGTTTTCCCTTCATCTGTTTTTTTTCTTTTTTTTTTTTTCATTCATTCCACATCAGAATGGGCTCACCTGTCGTCTCAGTCACCCAAGCCAAAAACTTGGGAGTCATTCTTGACTCTTCCCCTCATCTTTCATATCCAGATGATCACCAAGATCAGCTAATTTTGCCTCAGTTCATATTTCTCATACCTTTCTTTCCCCTACTGCCAATGTTCCCGTTATCTCTTGCTTGAACTATTGCAGTGATGCCTTCATTCTTTTGACAAACATCGGTTGGCTCTGATGTGCCAGGCACTGGGGATACAGAGGCAAATAAGACATGGCAACTTCCTCAGAAAATTGATAGATTAGTCCTCATTTGTCTCCTTCCCTCCAGGCTTACCATCTTTAAATCTGTCATCCACACTGATACCACAGTGATGTATCTTACACTCAAATCTTTCTTGCTTAAAATCCTTCATTAGTTTCCCATCACTAACAGGATAAAGACCAAACTCCCTAGCTAGCCTTATACAGCTTTCATGATCTGCTCCCTATTTATTTCTCCAGTCTCCACTCTCACCACTGTGCCTTGCTCTGTACTTCCATAATAATAAACTACTTGTATTCCAACTCCACACCCAGGGCCATTTCATTCCTCATGTGTCTTTGATCATGATATTGCCTGTCTAGAATTCTTTTCCTCTTCAAGTTTTAATTAATTCCTACTGATTTTTCAAAATATAACCCACCCCTGAAGAATCCTGGAATAGATGACTTCTGAGCGAATTCCCCTTCTCCAAGTATATTTCTGTCATAGTAATCATTAAATTAAAACTGTTTGCTTAATAAGACTGATGAATCACTGATCTCTACCTCTGAAACTAACAATACATTATGTGTTAATTAATTGAATTTAAATATAAAATTTTTAAAAGAAAAAAAACCGTTTGCTTTTGCTTATTTTTCTCTTCCAATAGACTGTAAATGCCTTGGGAGCCAGGGTCATTATCTTATTTTTTTCTTGAATTCTTTGAAAGCACAATATTTAGCATATAGTAGGCCCTCCCTATGTATTTGTTGAAGTAGCTTATTTTGAACCTTCACTTGAGTTTCCAGCATGCCTTCTTCATTCATTCTCCTCCTTCATTTAATGTAAAATATTTCTTTTCTTGTTCCTTCAGCTGTAGTGGGTGAGGGTTTCATCTTTTGATTACATTGGGTCTGACAGCTGATTGTTAGTACAAGTGATATACTCCAATCCCATTGCCTAGTAGAATCAGCCAGAGTGGACACAGCTAGCTTTGTGGGATAGTGTATGTGGCCGGTGATAGCCAGTAGTGATATTATGTCTTTGTTTGTTCAGTGTGCCTGCATCAAATGATATACTTTATCTATAGTTAGTTAACCATTATTAATCTTTAACCACTTATTTTTCTTAATTAATTTTATCTAATTAGTTTATTATTGTTTTTAATTTCTTATTTAACCACTCTTATTAGCCTTTTAACAATTTACTTCATTCTAATCTAAAGGTTTATATAAGGATGACAGGCTGCAAACACTTACTTGGTAAAGTAGTAAAATCTTAATGTTCTGTGCAGTTGTTCTAAAGCATTTTCCCCCAGATAGCTACACTTTGAGGTCTTCCTTTTCTTTGTCTAATCTTGCAAGGCCTAGGCCTAAGGGAATGATATGGTTGCTTCATTGTATCTTATACACACGACCCTGTGTAACATAACCCAGAGTTGGGACAAAGACACAGTAGAGATGTTATTTGATATGTTTTAATACTTAACGGATCTCTTTCTCAGAACTTGATGGAGAGTTTGGATTCGTTGCTTTGTGCAGAAGGTTCTGAAAGTCTGAAGAGTTTATGTCTGAAACTTCTCCTTTGCTTAGTGACTGTAAGTGACCCATCTATATGTTTCTCTATCAAGGGTGTTATCGACAGCAGGGGCAAGCTTATTTGAGTATTTGAGCCTAAAGTTAGAAAGGAAAAGCGAAAAAAAAAAAAAAATCTCTGCTCAGGCATCATATCACTCCACTGCATGTGAATGTGTAGAAGGAAGTGAGGTGAATGGGCTTTCACTTCCTGGAAGCTGCTCTTTGGAGCAACTGCGGGCATTTTTAGCCTGCTGAGTACGTGATATTTATCGCTTTAGAGGTACCACTCCTAGAGATTTATTGTCTTCTGGATTGTCAGATTTGCCCTTCTTACCAGGTCTTATTTGGAAACAGTTTTTATGATTCTGTTTCTCTTTATTCTGATTTTGATAAAACGGAGCTGGCCTGTATCTTCTAGTGAGAGGAGAGGAGGGTGTTGTTTATTTACTTCAGGCAGTTGTCTTTCCCCGCCATCACTCAAAGACTTCTGGATCATAAGCTTCTTTGTTTGAGAATCTGTTAAGTAAATGCTTACGTGAGGGTGTGAGAGAAACAATGAGAAGTTCAGAGATTGGGAAGTTTTAATTTGCTAATTTCTTACCCTTCTAGTGTCTGCCCACTCAGGCTCTGGTAGCTTCAGGGAGCTTATTGAAGGTCTACTAAGTATCTAGTAGAATGTTTTAACATTTCTGATTCTCTTAGATGGTAGGGGAGGAGATATACTTGAGACACCAGAGTGCCTCAGTATAGACTTTAAAAAGCCTTTTATTTCATTCAGGTGACAGACAACATTAGCCAGAACACTATCCTAGAGTATGTAATGATCAACAGCATATTTGAAGCAATTTTACAGGTAGGTCACTTCCCCTGTCACATCTTTCTCTTTTGGGTAAACCACCTCCTCAAATCTTCTCTGTCTGCATTCCTAGGAACTAGGAGTTGGCACTCATTCACTTCTTGTTCTTGTTACAGATACTCTCTCACCCCCCAAGTCGCAGGGAGCATGGGTATGATGCTGTTGTCCTCTTGGCTTTGTTGGTGAACTATAGAAAATATGAGGTAAGTGGGCTCCTAAATGGACAGTTAATAATCTTTCAGTAATCTTCCTAAATGTGGCCACTCCTGGGGGACTTTGTTACTTTGTTTAATGTAGAAGACATGTTCCTGGTAAATGGTATAGCCATTTAAAGGAATCCTGTGGTGCGACTTCTAATAAAGTGAGTATCCCTTAATGTAGTGGTTCCCAAACCTAGCTTATTAGAATGACCTAGAACTTTTCAAAAAGAAGAAATTTCTGGGCTTTCCTCTGAACACACTGAATCTGAATCTCTTGGAGGTGGGAACTGGGAGTCTGTTTTTGTTTTTTTCCTTTTGATTCCCCTATTGAGTATGATGATTAGCCAGGATTGGGAACCAGTGACCTAATGCATCTGTTTTGAAAGATTGGACTTTTGTATATTGGATTTCCATAACGCGGTCCACTTGTGTAAGTACCACTGTTGGTCTGGGAGCTCTTTCTGATTTAAATGGAAAATTGAAGGCAGAGCCTTATCCATGTCAGTTCTGGAGTTCTCTTTGTTCCTGAATTAATCAGGGACAGATTCATAGGTTTTTGAGATGAAGAGCAGAACTCAGAGATTTATACTTGGTTTCATGCCTCTACTTGATTCTTCTCAAAAGGGAGAATACACAGAAAAGGAAGGAGGGCCCTCAGGGAAGACCAGGGGCCTCACTGGAGATGGCTTTGGGGGAATAGGGAGCATTTGGCACTGAGTCCTGGACACTAGGAGTACTTTACTGAACCCAGAAGTCAGGAGCTGCCTTGAGGCAACCTGACTTTCTTCACTTAGCAAGTAGCAGTGCTATGAGAGATGGGCCAGCTGGAGGTAGGCTTTTCATTTCTGATCTTCTGGATCTTTACTTAGAGATTTCTTTCTTTTTTTTTTTTTAAAAGATTTTTATTTATTTATTTGACAGAGAGACAGCGAGAGAGGGAACACAAGCAGGGGGAGTGGGAGAGGGAGAAGCAGGCTCCCCGCTGAGCCGGGAGCCCGATGTGGGACTCGATCCCAGGAC